GGGGTCTCTGCCCTGCTGCTGCATGGGGCACCACGTGGGGGTCATGTCCTGCTGGCTTGGGAGTGGAGGCCCACTGTGGGGAGGCCGCTGGATTTGCTATTTTATGACAGCTAGAAGAGTTGGGGGGCAGTCAGGCATGAGTGGGGTTCAGGGTTTGGTTGCTCTGGGCAAAGGGCTGTTTTTATTGTGGGCCAGTTGTTTAGGATGAGAAGATACAGGATGTACAGAAAGGGAGGCAGTTTTTGTCTGGGGATGGACAGTGTTCTTGTCTGGGATTTAATTCTTTAAAAAAAAAAAAAGGAAAAAGAAAGCCAGCCTCTAAGTGTGTGTGTGTGGAGGGGCCAATTTGGGGGAAAAGTTGAGAAGCTATAAACTTGAAGCGACGATTCTCCAGTCAGAAAACTTTTTGGCAATTCACTCTGCAGTCCCAAACTTCCCTGCCTGCTCCAGGTGGTAAAGAGCAGTGACCACTGGGCCCCAGTGACTGAAGCATCGGAAGGAGCCTCTGTGGCCCCAGGACTAGAGTCCCCACCAGTGAGGGCCCAGGCTAGGCTCTGAATAGAGAAGGCTTCTGCACTGCCCTCAGCCTATGACCAGGAAGAAGGATGCCTGTTGAAGAGTCCCTCACCCCCACCCCTAAACTCCAATCCCAACTGCAAACCTTCCAGAACCTTCCAGTCCCATGCCTGTACTCCCTGGCCGTGCAGAGCAATGGTTTCCAAGCACCACTGTACTGTGCAACAGCTTGATCTGGGGGCTCCTTAAAACACTGGTTTCTGGGCCTCACCCTGGAAGTCCCTGATTCTGTGTGTCTGGGGTGTTTCTCAGCCCTGGCTAACATTCGAGTCACCTGGGGAGTGCTTTGAAAACCATCCAACAAGGTACTCAACCCAGACCAATTAAATCAAATGCTCTGAGGGCAGGGCTTGAGTCCTTTCAAAAGGACCACATTCTAACATTTCCTCCACTTTTTTTGTTTCTATTTTTGCAACCTCTCTGAAAAATTACTTATTTACAAGCTCTCACTACTATTAAGTGTGAGCTTCTAAAAAAAAAACAGTCCTGTATTATGGCAGAAGTTATTACTACCCCCACTCTGAAGTACCTATCAAAGTACCTAACAGGTCCAACATTTTTGCTTTGTGACTGATGTAGATAGACCTCTTGGGTGGGACAAGATTCCCCAGACCTCTGAAAAGGCAGGAGAACATTTTGGAGAGCGAGGGTGGGAGGTCAAGGTAGAAGAGTACAGCGGGGGAGAAGGTGTGGGAAAGAGGACTGTTTATCAACCCCTGATTCTCCACAGCTAATTTTCCACTTTGGGGATTATCGTTTTAAATCCCTAGTTGGCTTCTCCTGTCACTCAGCAGAATTCATACTGTGTTCCTATATGATCCAGCTGTCTGTGGACTGAGAGAATGTAAACTTATTATTGTTCTCAGAAACACACACACACACACACACACACACACACACACACACACACAATTAAGAACCCATGTTGCTTTATTTTAGAAAGTAAATGCCTGAAAGAAACCAGTCTGAAACAACTACTTATCATAGGATTCCAACTATATGGTAGTCTGGGAAAGGCATAATCTATGGAGACAGTAAAAATATCAGTGGTTGCCAGGGGTGGGGGTGAGGGAGAAAGGAACAGGCTGAGTGCAGGATCTTAGGGCGGTGAAACTACTCAATGTGACACTGTAATGAGGGATACATGTTATTACACATTTGTCAGAACTCATAGACTGTATATCAGGAGTGAACCCTAAGATGGATTTCGTGGACTTTGGGTGATAATGTGCCAACGAATACGTTTATTATTGGTAACAAATGGTTTTGAATGTTAATAATGGGAGAGGCTATTTGTGGGGCAGTGGGTATTATGGGAAATCTTTGTGCCTTCTGCTGAGATTTGTTGTGAATCTAACACTTCTTTAAAAAAAAAATAAAATCAAGACTTGAGAGGCTGAGGCAGGAGGATCACAAGTTCAAGGCCAGTCAGAGCAATTTAGCAAGCGCCTGTCTCCAAACAAAAAAAAATTAAGAAGAGCTGGGGTGTGGCTCAGTGGTAAACTGCCCCTAGGTTCAATCCTTAGTGCCACAAAAATAAGTAAATAATAAAACTCTGAATTTTTGAAAGTATATGCCAAACTCTAAATGTATCTTAAGTTGGTGGCTTTTAGGCTTTTTATTTTATTTTTTCCCCAATAAATCTTTGTAGAACCCTAATATGGAAGGAAGCAGAGGTATACACATATTTTCATCAAACAACTTAGTTGTCATGAAGAATCGCCTCTGTGGCTAAAGCATTTCTGAAACACTTTTGGGGGCAGCCATAGAGTTTCCTGCCCAGAGGAAGTTTCTCTGAATATTCTGGATAATCTGTACCCTTACTCCCAGCTCTTCATATAAATGAATAATTCAGAGCCAACTCTAGTCTTTCTCGAAGCCCAAGGAATAGCTTGTGCTTTCAGGTGTCTGCAGTTTCTGTCCTCTGCATTCTAAGAGAAAACTGCCGTTCGTTTCCATGATTTCCTTTCCATGATCAAAAAGCAGACAAGAAGTGTGGAATCTTGTACGGCATGGCGGTAGAGCTTAACATCGTATATTTCTGCAGATCAAGAGGGGCTCTCTCAGTTTTGATAAGAACAGCTGAGAGCTCGCCAGAGATGATCCACAAAATCTGAGTGATGAGAAATCAGAGTGGGTATACCCAGGACAGGGTGTGCACACTAACCCTGAGGATGAAGAGTGTTAGAGGGCTGGATTTCAAAAGAAAATCAAAGCCCTGATTACAAAAGAAGGGGTGTATTAGTCAGCTTATGCTGAGATCACACTGTGTGACAAACAACTCCAAGACCTAGTGGTGTGTGCTTGAAGAAAAGCTAGATCTCTGAGGAGAGTCCCAGGTGGTTAATTGGGACTCAATTCAAGAATGAAGTCGGGTAGCCACTGCTGACTGGGAATCATGCATGTACTCTCTATTCCTGGAGGGACCAAGACCTGAACCTTTAGGCCCTGGCAGTTCTTGTTTCAAATGCTAAGATGAACATCTTCCCCAAAGTCTCATTTTGCTCCCTGGACCAACGGAACTATGACCTACAGTCATAGGTAAACATCAGCCTGTCAGGAACAGGCTTGGTGGCATCCCACATTTGCATGAGTAGACCAGAGTGAGAACCTGGGTGGGAAATTCCTCTGCACAAGCCAGGCCCTCTCTTTGTTCTTCAGAGCGGGCTGTGACTCCCAGTTGGCAAACAGTTTTTTTTTGTTGTTGTTGTTGTTGTGGTTTTTTCTTTAACAAAGTCCTCTTTTTCCTCTTGAACTCTTTCTTAGTGGATTCTGGTTGACAGTAGTTTATAGTCACACGCGAGTCCAGCTTGGCAGGCCGAGCGCATGTCTGCTTCCCACGTCTTCTCATTCTGGGACCCAGGCTAAAGGAACAGGCCCTACTGGGGGACACGTGGTTCTCCAGGGGAATAAGGAGCTCAAGAGGAGGGACACCTGTTGTCACGTGATGCTTATTAAACCCTCAGCTTAGGACTCACACACTCTCATTCTACTCACATTCCACTGGGAAAAGCAAATCATATGGCCAAGTCTGAAGTCACAGGGCAGGGAGAGGGGAGGGAGGGAAGGCAGCATTCTGAACAGATAATCCAATCTACCACAGGAGAAAATGGATGCGGGGAGTACAAAAAACCACAAATCTTTCAGGCTCCTCATAATTTAACCTCCCGTAATGTATAACAGAATGCATTTTTTTTTTAAAAAAGTAGATAGACGAGAAAGCATAGTTACAGCAGGAGGAGAAAATGAGTTTTAGAGGAAGACTCATTTAAAAACATTCTAGAGCACTGTCAAATATTCATATTTGAAACCGATGAATTGATGATTTGGGGCAGAAACTCAAAATTGGATTTGCCATTGTGAATTTGAAGAATGCTTCAGTAGTTGTTGGTGCTTGGGAATGGACAGCCAAAGCCTGACCAGAAGGCAGCCCTCTCTGGTGGAAAGTGCACGGTGGGAATCAGGAATTTTGGAGATATCCAGTCCCACACCTGCCTTGCCGTGGCTCTGTGACCTTCACAAAATCATTCACCCTTAAGGAGTCTGAACAAGCACAGTTTTTACTGGTTTATCCAGTGGATGCCAATTTTACTTTAAAACAACATGCCTTATGGACTAGGATTTTAAAATGTTCGTGAATTTCATTCCAAGGAGTATTTAAAAGAATTTTATAGACTTGCAGTCAGCCCCCCGTGGGAGCTGGCATTTTTAATGTTGTTAGAGGTATTTCACTGGGAAAATTTGAGAACATTGATTTGGACCATCTTTTTTGCCCTTCAACTGGCCACCCGTAAGCTAAAGGTTGGCACCACTACCCCTCAGAGTCCGCTGCCTGTTTCCACAAGGTTCTAGATGGAAAAAGGTTTACTTTTCTCTTTTTGTTTGTAGTTGTAGTTTTCCAAAAAAGAAATTACCATCTTAACCAGTTTTAAGTGTATCGGTCAGTCGTGTTAGGTATATTCACCTTGTGAAACTCCTCTCCAGAACTTACACATCTTGTAAAACTGAAACCCATTAAAAGCAGCCCATTTCCCCTTCCCCAACCCCTGGTGGTCCTCATTCTACTTTTCATTTCTATGAA